TAAAAAAAAATATCAAGGACAAACCTCCTCGTCGTCATCATCACCGCCACCGTTCCCTCCTCCCGTGCCGACGACGCCACCCCCGCCGTCCCGCAACCCAGAGGCAGCACTGTCTCTAGCCCGGGAGCTCCCAACCTCCACCTGGTACTTCGCCATGGCCGCGCCATGCGGCCGCGGCGCGCTGCGGCTCGTGCTCATCGCCGTCTCCGCGGCCTTCCTCACCTACACCGCGTTCCTCTCCTCCCGCTCCCTCCTACCCCTCCCCACCGCTTCCTTCCCCGCCGCCACCACCGCCTCCTCCTCCTCCTCCCGTTGCCTCGCCTCTGGCGGCACCGGCAGGAGGAGGCTGTTCCACACCGCGGTGACCGCGCTGGGGTCCGTGTACAACACATGGCAGTGTCGCATCATGTACCACTGGTTCAAGGAGGCACCGCGGCAGCCGGACGGCACCGACATGGGCGGCTTCATCAGGATCCTGCACTCCGGGAAGCTTGACGAGTTCGTCCACGAGATCCCCACCTTCGTCGCCGACCCGCTCCCTGACAGGGCGGATCAGGTAACAGCAACACTCTACGCTTGGTTGCTCGGTTAGGTGAAACGGCAATTTTACCCTGTTGCTCGGTGTTTTTCTTAAAAAAAACTGTCGCTTCCCAGCAGACGATCGGCCATCTTCCAGATGCCGCCGATGCAAACCACAATCTGCATTCGCTCCTGGACTACCTCCCAAGCTCCTCGTCGGCGATGGAGCAAACGCCGCCGTAACGACAGAGCCCGAGAACACATGTCCACCACGAGGATATCGACGCCGCCGCACCATCCTTGCTTGAACAGACTGGATTCCAAATCCATCACCAACCATAGGACTGATCACCTCGTCGGAGTAGGATCTGAGGAGACTTCATTCAGCGCTGTCATCGCCGCCGCCGAACCCAAGACGATGAACAACCTAAAAACTAATCTACTTTGGTCTAAAACTATCCACGCGCGTGGATCAGGCGACCCCACTCACCAGCGACGACCGAGGTCGTCGGCGGAGGGGAGCCGTCGGAGGAACTCCCTGGCGACGGGCGCTGGCGAGATCGCAATTTCCTCTGAGAGGAAGAAAGAACGACTTGATCATTTTTCCCTGTCCCGGCTAAACTAGCCTGTTCTGTTAAACGCATACACTCATTCCTATAAATGTATGTACACGCATCTTATTTCTATGAGTGCCTCCAAGATATCGAGGACACAACATCTTAAAATTGAAGAAGTCATCACAGATGCTTCATAATCAGACGGGACGTCCTTTTTCACTGAGAAGTCTGAAATAAATCTAGAAAATGCAAGCGCCTTACACTGGCCGGGCCAGTAGATGGATCGTGCGTGCTCCACCGACGCGGCGTCGCCGTTTTCGTCGCAAACGCGCCGTCGATGGACCCGATCGCACCCAAGAGGCCAAGACATGAGGCCCCCAAGCACGCTGCATTGACCCCTTCAACCTTGCACTGCTATATTTAAGCGGTGACCCTGCATGCACGAACCAAGACCAGCCGTACGTCCACTCTCCTCCCTGCGATCGACCTCCGTTCGTGGTGCGGCTGGCTGGCTGGCTGTCTGTCCACCGGCGACGGCGCGCGCGTGCAGACGAGACGTACCCATAAACATTTCCCTCCTCCCTTCCGGAGCCCCCTTTCCTGGCCTCTTCTCCTCGGGAGCCTCCCCTTCGCGGGTGCTCCATCCATCCAATCCTATTATGACATTACGATGCCACTCCCCATTGCCTTCCTCCTCCCCCTCTTCTTCCTCCTCGCCGCCACCGCTCCCTCCTCCCGCGCCGCCGACGCCGACGCCGCCCCCGCCGTCCCGCAACCCAGAGGTACCAACGATCCAACCAGCAGCCTTGGATGAATTATCGGCATCGCGTTGGTTGATCCGTCCGTTTGACAGGGTTCTACATAAACTGCGGCGCGGACAAGGAGGTGCAGGTGGGGAGCATCAAGTGGGTCCCGGACGCCGGCTTCATCGCCGTCGGCAACGCCTCCGCCGTCAACAAGCCCGCCATCCTGCCGGTCCTCGCCACGCTGCGCCACTTCCCGGACGCCACCGCGCGCAAGTACTGCTACACCGTCCCCGCCGTCAAGGGCTCGCGCTACCTCGTCCGCACCACCTACTTCTACGGCGGCTTCGACGGCGGCGCCGAGCCCCCCGTGTTCGACCAGATCGTCGACGGCACCCTATGGAGCGCCGTCAACACTGCCGACAGCGCCCGCCGCGGCATGTCTACCTACTTCGAGATGGTGGCGCAGGCGCAGGGCAAGTCCATGAGCGTCTGCCTCGCCCGCCGCCCCGACACCAGGTCCAGCCCCTTCATCTCCGCCCTGGAGCTCGTCGACCTCGAGGACTCCATGTACAACACCACCGACTTCGACAAGTACGTCCTCAGCACCGTCACGCGCAGCGCCATGGGCGCCCAGGGCGAGATCATCAGGTACGCACGCTGCACGTCCGTCGGCGCCGATCGACCGGCACCGGCGCTGCAGCGCATGCATGCATGGCAGTGGCATGGCATCCATCCATGGAGACCCCTAACGCGACGTGCTGCTTGGCATTACCAATTCTAGCTATCCAGATGACCAGTACAACCGGTACTGGGCGCCGTTCACGGACGGCAACCCCACGACGGAGAGCCACTCGCCGATCGCGCCGGCGGACTTCTGGAACCTGCCGCCGGCCAGGGCGCTCAAGGGCGCCATCACCACCAGCCGGGGGAAGAAGCTGACCGTGCAGTGGCCGCCCCTGGAGCTGCCCTTCGCCAGCTACTACGTGGCGCTCTACTTCCAGGACCCGCGCACGGCCAGCCCCTACAGCTGGCGCGTCTTCGACGTCTCCATGAACGGCAAGGACTTCTTCCGGGGGCTCAACGCCTCCGCCGCCGGCGTCATGGTCTACTCCAACACCATTCAGCTGGCCGGGAAGACGGAGATCCTGCTCACGCCCAACGGGACCTGCCCCGTCGGCCCGCTCATCAACGCCGCCGAGATCTACCAGATCGTGCCCGTCGGCGGCAGGACCGCCACCAGCGATGGTATGTGCTACTCAATTTCAAACCCTTCATATCACATGCCGATATGTAGGTACTTTCAGACTGTAAATTGTCATCATCTACAGTAGTAATTAGTGTGTTTCACCTTACGTTTGTGAAATTAGTGATTGGGTGATAAAAAGGTTCAGGCTTCTTCTACATTGTGCAGTGAGTGCAATGGAAGATCTCGCGAGGAGCTTGAAGAACCCGCCGCCTGACTGGGCCGGCGACCCCTGCCTGCCGCGGCAGAACTCGTGGACCGGGGTCGGTTGCTCCGACGACTCACCCGTGCGTGTCCTGTCACTGTAAGCATCCAGATTATATGAACTCATCCAGTTGCCAACATGGCTCAAACTGAAATAATTTCGATCAAATTTGGCCACTGGAATTGTGATACAGTATTATGAAACTTAGAGTCAGTGAACTGTTCTGACCATTTCTGCAACAATATGACCTCTGTTCTGTACTACAGGGATCTAAAAAATCGTGGTCTTTCAGGATCGCTTCCCGACAGCATTGGAAATTTGACAGGGATGAATACCATGTAAGCTGTACAATAATAAAACCATTAACCATGTGTGTCAAATAGACAAAATAAGAAAAAACACCCCTTCTAACCTTGCCTCTGATCTTTTCACTCCCTGCAGTTCTCTCAGTGGCAACAAACTCTCAGGACCCATACCTGACTTCAGCAGCACGCAGACCTTAACTGCACTGTAAGCCCAATGCATATATTGAATTATTCATCCCAGGATTATTTTCCTGCATGCTAACATTCCACATTTCAAAAAAGGCATCTTGATGGCAATCAGTTCAGCGGAGCGATCAACCCGTCGCTGGGAAACCTCACCAATCTTAAGGAACTGTAAGCGCTCAGTTTCTCCTCCTCAAGTTTCTTTCACCGGCTTTCTTCCCCTGATACATTTGCTCTGCACAATGTCAGGTTCCTGAACAACAACAATCTCTCCGGACTGATACCACCAAGCCTGAAAACCAAGCCTGGACTTGTCATGAGGTATGCCGATTGATGACGAGTAACGAATCGCTCCGCTTAAGTTGTTTACCTTTTTCCTCATGATGATGATATGGTTTGCATGAATAACTTCTGATAGGACTGAGGGAAACAAACTTCAATGAGGCTGGCAAGGAGGAAATATCGTGATGCTAATTTGTGAATCTGATGGTGCACTTATGTATACAAGAGATACAATTTGAAGAAGGGAGAAGAGTGAAAGGGCTTCAGAAAGTGTAGGATGATGATATACTAATGTACCATGTGTATTTATGTGAGCTGAAGATTGATATGATATTTGGCATCCTTTTGAGCCATTGTGTCCTTCTCCTAGTTTAGGAATTAGGACTTTAGGTACATACAATTTTTAGGCCAAAGAATCATTTCCTGGTCTATATAAGGAAAATTGTGTATTATGTTACACTAGAGACTTCATTTAGGAAGAGCAATATGTAGTAGCAGACAGACACACAATTAGCTGATTACTTGCCATCTGATCTCATTATCAGTACTGCTGGACACGGAAACATATTACATAGCTGCGCGGGTAATCCTGATACACAAAAGCCTACACCACGCCCCAAATCCTACTTGCCATCTTGTAAGCCACTGTTGGACATACCAACAAAATGCATAACCGCAGCACAGGCGATCCAGATAGATAAAGCTTAAGCCATACCAGACTCCTAACTAGTACCATCTACCGATAGGTTAGTTCTTAGCAGTGAAGCTGCAAGGTATGCTCACTCCATTTCCTCGTTGTCATCATCACCAACAGCAGCTCGGATGATATGCACCTGAAAAGAAATTCAGTTATTCACATTAGTCAAAAGTAAACACCATCTTGAGTTCACAACTGCGTATCATTCAGATATTAGTGTCCAGTAGGTTTTCAAACCTTGAAGGTTGTAGGCTTGATCAGCTGAAAGACCGTCGAGTCTCCATCCCGAATCACATGATCCAGAGCAAAACCAGCCCAGCCACCACTTAGCCCCTTCTTGTAGGCAAGGTATTTGGACTCGAACTCCTCATCTTTCTCATCCACCAAAGTGATAGTGCAGTCATTCTTTGGCAGGTACGTGTCACAGAAATGGCTTGGGAGACCCTTTTGATCATGCCATACAACAAAGTTAGGACGCAGGAGAATACAAGATCGATGAGCTATGAATTTACTAGGAGGACAAGTCATAGTAGTGCAATACTCACCAACCAGAACCCTCGCACCACATGTGAATGTAGCATCCGCTTCATGAAGGATGGAAATTGAGGGTCAAGTTGTGATTCTAACTCCTCAGCTTTGCTTGCTGCCTCCATCCTAGCTTTCATGGAAATTGGTCCACCTCCACCTCCTGCTAAGTAGATGCTGCCACTTCGCCTTCTAGGAGACCACCTGCAGAAGAAATGGATAGATACGATGAAGTTATTTCACACGATGGAAGAGGTTACAGGTCTTGAGCTCCTATGATAATGATAGCACATATTCACAAACCTTCCCACTCTCTCACTATCTTCTCCCACCTGTCAATTGAAAACAAACCTTACTTGTCACAGAAGCAAATATGGAATTCAGTTGATTACAGTAGGGACAATACTACAATGGCTCAATGCCTGTATAGTTCTCTTAAGGATACGAGATTTTCCAGAAAAGAATACAAGCTGCCTCTGAACAGAAGCAGTTGGCAGGAAATTTTAGAATCAGAATTTAGAATAACATACACTTGTTTTTATTCTTACTGCTTCATAATAAATTGACAGGGACAGTTCAACAGATAAAAAAAGTGAAGTAAAATCATCTCCGGTTCTGCAACAGGCTGCACTTGCAATCACAGTATGAGCAGCACTAGGCAGTACAAACAGCGAGTAAAAAGCAAATTAGTTGCTATCTCACAGCAAAAGGTGGCTATATCAGTTGCGATCTCACAGCAAAAGGCAAATTAGCTATGCAAGGGACAACATAGAAAATGTATTTAAAGATCACAATACAATGGCTCGATGCCTGAGGCCTTTTGTTTTAGGATAGGACATTTTTAAGCCTTTTGTTCAGATGCCTCTGAACAGAAGCAGAGCAGTTCTAGAGCACCTATGCTAATGCTGCCCCTGTACTTGATCTAACTCTTACTAGTTCATACTTTTAGGAGTAGTAAATTTACATAATCTGGGTCACTTCAACAGACAACAACGTGGAGCAAATATCATCTTCAGTTGAGCAACAGGCCGTACTACTTACAGTATGAGCAGCACTAGACAGTAAAAACAGTGAGGAAAAGTCAAACTAGTTCGTAACGAATTGACATGATCTGGGACAAGACAAGTCATCAACAGATAAAAATGTGAAGTAAACATCATCTTGCAGTTCAACAGTGTATTTGCAGTTACAGTATGAGCAGCAATAGGCAGTAAAAAAAAACGGCGAGCAAGAGGCAAAATGAGTTGCCATCTCACACCAAAAGATGGACAAAATCAGTTGCCATCTCGCAGGAAAAGGCAAATTAGCTACGCAAGGGACGAAATAGAAACCGTGTGCACGCAAAAATCACAAGAAACAGGTGCATTTATCCATTATAAGCATTTCCCCCGAAAGCTTGGTACAGATCAGGCAAGGGGGCAGGAAGAGATGGACGGGTGGATGGATGGATACCTCCGCGCAGGCGTCGGCGTACTTGACCTCGCGGAGGTGGGCGAGCCGGCGGGACCTCCTCGGCGGCGACGGGACGGGGGTCGCGGCTTCGATGACCCTGCGCCTCTTGTGCTTCTGCTCAGGCGCGAAAACAAGAAAGGGAAATGCACGATTAATGGCGACGAAACGACCGATTCAGCAAAGGGAACGGCCGCGGAAAGAGAAGGCGGCGAGGAGGGAGGGATGAGGGAGAGGGGTGGTGACCATGGGGGAGGGGGTCTTGGGTGCGTAGGTGGCGACGGCGGCGGAGAGGTGGCGCAGGTTGAGCGCCTCCATCTTGCGCTTGTTCTCCTCCACCGTCCTCTCCCGCTCCGCCTCGTACGCCGACATCCCCTTCTTCTCGATCGCCATCGCCGCCGCGCACCTCGATCCCGGAGCAGCCGCAGGTGGTGGTGGGATTGGGTTTCTTGGAGGCGGGGGCGGGGGAATGTTGGGGTTTAAGCCGGGGATTTCGGGGAGTGGTGGGAGGGGGTTGGTAGACCTGGAGGTGGAAATCGACCGTTGGAGGCTTCCGGAAGAACGTGTGGGCCGGGCCTGCATGGGCTGGCCCAAACGTCTCCTTGTGTGGGCCGTCTCGTGGTGGTGAGTTCGTTGTGGTTGGGTTGACCGGTCCGCGGAGAGGGGAAGAGTGGTTGGCTGGATCCATCGGCTGCTCTGCTGCTGCCGGGCGGGATGAGGGTGGTGGTGACGGGCGCGACGGGGTACCTGGGCGGGCGGCTGTGCGCGGCGCTGGCGGGGGCGGGGCACGACGTGCGGGCGTTCGTGCGGCGCACCGGCGACGCGTCCGGCCTGCCGGACGCCGTCGAGCTCGCCTACGGCGACGTCGGCGACGCCGGCTCCCTCGCCGCCGCCTTCGACGGGCGCGACGCCGTCTTCCACGCCGCCGCCTCCGTCGAGCCATGGCTCCCCGACCCCTCCGTCTTCACCGCCGTACGTGCACACACACTAGTACTACTTGCTGAATCAAGCTCTTCTCTTTTCGGTTTTTCCTTCCAAGGATTAGAGGTCACTGTAGAAAATTGGGTGGTTTGGTTCGTGGTGTGGGTGGTCACCAGTGATCCAGGGTCGACAGTGAACCATGATGCATTTCGTGATTGCTTCTTCTATTCGGTTCATCGGTTGTATGGTCAGCACAAATCTTTTGTCAGCTGTCCATGCTGCCGCGGAGTACAATTTGGCCAGTACAGTAATAATTACTACAAGGCACATAGCTGGATGATAGCAACTTTGCAAGACAGTAAGTGAAACAAGAGCATACTATTGAACATGTGTGTTTCATGCTGCCATTATCAGGTCAATGTGAGAGGGCTTGAGAATGTGTTAAAGGCGGCCAAGAGAACACCGACAGTAAAGAAGATCATATACACGTCGTCCTTCTTCGCACTTGGCCCAACGGATGGTTGTGTCGCAGATGAGACACAGGTAAAATTGTATTGTTCAACTGTATTGGCCTTTGTCATTGTCCATCTTGCTAGTTTCTGTGAACATAAATGATATGATATCATTTCCTCATGAATGATTCTTTAGCAAAACTTGGTTGGTAGTCCTGTTCTGGGCGGATGCATTATCAATGCTGTTTGTTAGCTAGCACGTTGGTTTACAAGAGCATACAGATATTTACTTGACTGCATCACATTGCAAGGGTAGATAGATATTCTACAATGTTCAAACCTTGAAACCTAACTGCTTTGGTCGCTGTTGCTATTTCCAAGAACAATTCTGCTAGTCAGACTGCTACTCTGCTATTAAAATTGGGGTACTGAGTTATCTACATTTACACAGAGATTTTGCGCAAACGCTGCAAGCTGTAAAACAGTTAAATTGTTCTAAATTGCAGATGCACAAAGGAAAAACATTTTGCACGGAGTATGAGAAATCAAAGGTTCTTGCAGATAGAATCGCATTGCAGGCAGCAGCAGAGGGGGTGCCAATAACCATTGTCTATCCAGGAGTCATCTATGGTCCTGGAAAACTTACAACTGGAAACCTTGTTTCCCGCATTGTATGACGACCTTCTTGCCCATGAATAAGTCATATATACTCCCTCTGTCTCAAAATATAAGACTTCGTTTGGCCTAAATCATGTCTTATATTTTGAGACAGAGGGAGTAGTTATTTATCACACATTTGTGTATGATTCATAAAATACAGCGTCTTGACAAATAGTCAGGACCAGAAACTGAACCTCGGTGATTTTTTGCAGTTAATTGAAAGGTTCAATGGCCGTCTACCTGGCTACATTGGAGATGGGTATGATAGAGAATCATTTTGCCATGTCGACGATGTTGTTAGTGGGCACATTGCAGCTATGGAGAAGGGCAGAGTGGGAGAAAGATATCTGCTCACCGGCGAAAACTTGTCATTCATGCATATTTTCAATATGGCTGCTAATATCACAAACACAAAGGCCCCGTACTTCCACGTACCACTCTGGCTGATTGAAATATATGGCTGGATTTCAGTTTTCATTGCTCGAATCACTGGAAAGCTCCCTCTTATCAGTTACCCCGTATGTCCCAGCATTTTTTAAAAAAAATTCTAAGCATTTAACTTTATTGTTTGCATATAGTCCATCCTTGTGGGTTTAATAGTGTCTCCATACTGTGGATTGCAGACGGTTCGTGTTATTAGACATCAATGGGCGTATTCATGTGACAAAGCAAAGAGGGAACTGGGCTACAATCCAAGAAACTTGACTGAAGGTCTAGCTGAGATGCTTTTATGGCTGAAGAACGAGAAACTGATCAAATTTTAGTGTACTTTGCTATTGCTTCCGTTACATTTCACACTTCATGTAGACCGTGATGTTCTATGTACTAGAATCATCAACATGTATATACTGCAGTATGCCACTGTCTTGTTGTATCAAGTTGAGATGTAATAATGTAATACTGAGTCCGTATTCAGATAAAGGAAGAAACGGTATTATTTTTCAGATACTGGTTGATTCTATGCATGCTGCAATTGCATGAATAGTTGCTTTTGGAGTATCGAAAGAAAGACAACTTCAAAAGTTGAGAACAAATGCACCCAAAAGTATGAAAATTTTGTGTAGGCCGAATACTTGGGAGTTGATAGATATGCGCAGATCTTTTGGAGCAATCCATGCTTTGATCAAGATATCAAACATGGCCTTCTGAATACAGTTCCGTATTGAAAATTACGCAATGCCATATTGAAACTCAACAAAAATGCTGAGACAAAGAAAGATAATGACATGAGTAACATGCAACATTCAGCCATTTCATAAATCATAAGTGATGGATAATCTATGTAGAGCAGTATGGAATACTCAACTGAGTTAATTTCATGGTAACACTACATGTAGCAGATTAATCCTCTCCTTTGGAAGAGTTTTGCTGAATCAAATAATCAACCGAAAGGTAAAAAATTCAGAATATCAGGCCAATTCTTGCAGCAATTTCCCCAGCGCATCAGGAACAAGGGGGATGTGGAGGCAATCTTGGCCATCAGAGTGCTTTTTGATCTTTATAAGATCATGATCTTTAAACTCTGTCAGGTGGGAGTTCAATGTCACTTGACTGCTCACCAGGAAACGCTCACGGCATTTGGTATACAAGCTGCTGACAGGCATACCTGACAAACATTGCAAATGTGATTTAGTGTACAAAATATGGAAAGTCTTGCAGGGAAAATAAGTTCAATAAAACAGGCTGCCCTGTGCTTCTCAAGAAAAAACACCACATTACTTACCTTCCTCTTTTTCATTTGCTAACTGATATTCAGCAAGAACTCTAAAGACACTTTGTGCATTTGGTGTCAGACTCTGAAGAACAACGAGGGCAGTTTTTGTGGTTTGTGCATGACCGCCACTGGCAAGTATCAATGGGTAGAACACACATTCAACTTTGTAGGGTGCAAATGTTGGGACATGGTACCAGCTCCACTTGAACTGTGTGTGCACCATCTTCTTGTCCCACACTACAGTAAGTCAGTAATTGCCAGTTTAGGATACCTTAAACAATGAAGGCGTTAGAAAAGAAGGAAGCTAAATGTGGCAGGAACTTACATAAAGGTGCGTTGACATGATCCACTGATGCAACAACGTGGATTTGTGGACAGCAAGAAACTTGTGCTAGACACTGCTGTGATTCAGCATCACGCAATGCAGGTCCATCTATATTGTGAATGAGAAGGCACACACCATCAACCCCATCTTCTGATGTCTGGTTGTTCAAAAACGAGATAATATCATCCATTGATTGGGATGCAAAATTTTGTGATGGTTGGGACCTTGTTCCTGAGTGACGTTTTCGCTTAAGTTTTGTCTGCTCCCAAAACATTTCAGCTATTGTTGCCAATACCTGAAAAAGAAGAGATTAAGAGAGGCAGAATTGGTACTTCAAAGTGCGTTTATGTTACAAATCTAGCAATCAAATGCGGCTGCATTTCCTTTACCCAAGGCATCAAATCTGGCAATCTGGATGTGCAAACCAAGATCTCACGGAAACTTCCTCTAGGTGTTCCATACAATACAACTATAAGACCAATTTTTTCATAGCAATTGAAGTGGTAGTTGGTAGATTTTAATATGCAAAAGTTTACCCCTGTTTCATGTGGTTGTTTCATCTACTTTTCATTCCCAAACCTGTTAGCTAACAGAGGTTAAAGCCAATTGATCTCTGTGAGCGTTGGTTGATAGAAACCAAGCCAATTCAGCCATTTTTGGTTTTTTTGTCCACGAAGACTGAAAGTTCAAGACAGCTACACATGATACATGTGCAACAGTTTTGAAAGCATTTAAAAGAGAGTACAGAGGCAAGCAATTATACAGGCAAGAGATCAGTATATTAGGCAGAAGGCCATACTTGCTTCAAGTTGATGGACGGAAGATAACCATTGACCACAATGACAGTGAAATCGGTCAAGGTCGTGGAGGCAAAATCCTCCAGCAACAGCTTCTTAGACCCAAATCCATACATCAACAGGCCAAAACCGCACCTACAGCAGAACAGCGCGACCATTCATTTCGATCGACATTATCAGTAATCCAAGCAGAAATGAAATTTGTGCGGTGCCGTGGCGCTTATTAGCGTCGGAAGAAGGCGATACCTCAGCTCGAAAAGCCAGTTGCGGTACTGGTCCTTGTAGCTCCTCGTGAGGGCCTCCACCTCCTTCTCGTGCTTCGGGGGGATCTCGGCGAGGGACGCCCGCAGCACCTGCCCAGATCCCAAATTAATCAGCAAATCGTAGCAAGATAAATAAGGGCGCGAGAAGCGAAGAGGTGGGTCGGAGGATTCCGAGGAGAGGTGGATTGGTAGACCTGCTCGTCGACGAGGTTGAGGTCGGAGAGCTTGCCGACGGCTGCGGCGGCGCGGGCGCGCTTCTTGGCCGAGGAGGTCTCCTTCTCCTTGGCGAGGAAATAGCTCCTGGAGAAGCCCGCCTCCGCCTCCTCCTCCTCGTCCTCCGAGCCGGAGCTCGCCGCCGCGTGACCGCCTCTCGGGGCCATAGGAACTCGCTTCCTCTTCCCCCGCCGCCGCCGCCACCGCCGCCGCAAGGATGGTGGACGGGGAAGGGGCACACGGGCGGTTAATGCTAGGTGTCAATTGCCTTTCCCGCGCTTCGTTGCCTCTTCTAGCGGGAAATGGGGCTCGGCTTTGTGGGCCGGGCTGCGCGAGGCGGTTTTGTTCGGCCTTGGTTTGTATCGGTTTTAGAAGCTTCAGCGTGGATTTTTATCGATTTTTTATATTGGGTTTTCATTTTTTTACTTTTAAATATTTTTTACTTTCAATACATGTCTACTTTTTCCAATACACATTTTACATTTTTCATATTCAAGTACATTCTTTTAATATATGTTAAAAAAATTCAAATAAATGTTGAACATTTCTTTGAATGGTGTGAAATATTTGTTTGAAATTCTGCGGACATTTTTTTACATTGTAGTATTAACATTTTCGTAAAATGTCATGAACATATTTTTGAAACAAGTGAACATTTTTTTCAATGTCATGATTTTTTTGAATGATACAGGCTTTCAAAAGATGTGTGAACATTGTATTAACATTTCCTTAAAATGTCACTGACGCCCTTCCCCAGATTTGTTGGCGTGGTGCTAGCAGAGTGGAACCCCTTGACTTTGGGCGATTGACGGCTGGGGCTTGGATGCTAAAGACGGGCTGGAGGTCAGACCGGCAGCCGGGTGGCGGATCTTCTTGCGCCTCTCCTGCCCGATGTCTTCTGACGGGTCTGGTGGCTCGATCTGGGAAGTGGGAACCCGTGGCTAAGATTTTGAGTTCTTGATCTTCATTGCTATATTTTGTTGATTATATGAATTTCCAAATATTTACTTAAAGAAGTTTAAAATTGAACTACAGGTGTGTTGAATTTTGGTCCTAAAAATTGACATAAATCGTTTTAAGGTACTCAACTAGAATTGTATAGAATATCCACACACAAAAAAATCAAAGAGTTAACCCTTGTTACGAATACTCATGCATGCAATTTTGACATTGTTTAAAAATTAAAGAAAATGAAGAAAAAATCCAAAATTACGATCCATTCGCATGTACTCATTTTTTGTGTAGTGCTTGCGAGGAAAAATGATAAACTAGGAACACTGTGATTTAAAAAAAATGTTCGCAAAATGGTCATAGCTTTCAAGCCAAATGACAAAATTCATGGCCATATCCACGGCATAGTTTATGATAAGGTGATGATATTTAGCGCACTCGCGCGCACACACACACATGTGGCTTGGCATGCCAAATAAGAACGGGAGAGAGTCTCTAACTTTTTATGGGAAGACGTTGATTTTCCGTTTGCGAAATGCCAGAGATATTTTTTAGTCAAGTACCACACATAAGATTGAAATTTTGATCTTGCTATTTTCACATAAAGTAGACCGTATTGGCGGCATACCGCCAAAAGATTTCGAGTCTTTGCTATATTCCAATGATTATATGAATTTTTGGACATTTACTAAAAGTAATTCAAAATTGAACTGCGAGTGTGTTATATTTTGGTACTAAAAATTTGCAAAAAACAGTTTAAGATGCTCAAGTAGGATTGTATATAGTATCCAAAAAAAGTTAAAAACTTCATACCTTACTATGAATGGTCAGCCTACAATTTTGATCTCATTTAAAAAAGTAAAGAAAATTGCACCCCTTTCACATGGAGTCCTTCTATATGTATTAGTTGCCAAGAAAATAATAAACTAGGAACACGATGATTTCTTAAAAAGGTGTTCACAAATTGAACTAACATGTAGGAAGATTCATGACTTTCAAGCCAAATAACCAAGCTCATGGCCATATCCATGACATAGTTCATGATAAGGTGACCATATTTGGCACATACACACATGTGGGTTGGCATGCCAAACAAGAATAACAAAAGGAGTTTTCAACTTTTTATGGGAAAACATTGTTTTTTCTTTTTTTCAAGTGCCAAAAATGGGGAGGGGGCTAGGAATCAAGCACCACAAATAAGATTGAAATTTGGCTTCTGCTATTTTCCACACGGATTAGATCATATTGGAGGCCTATTGTTGAAAGATTTTGTGTTTTCGAGATTCTTTGCTATCCTCCATTTATTGTATATTCTGGACATTTACAGAAAGTGTTACAAAATTGAATTACAAGTGTGTTACAATTTGATCCTAAAATTAGCAAAAAATATTTTAAGGTACTTCAGTAGAATTGTATGTAAATGACCAAAGTGCACCATAAATAAATTCAAATGAATTTGAAATGATGATCGAACAGGCCTCAGAATGATTAATTAAAGTGCTGAAACCGTAATTTTCCTTCATTGTATCCAAAGTACCTTTCTAAACCCTAGAGATATTGGCTAGAGCTCATCCTATATACCTAAGAGATGTTGGGGAACACAGTAATTTCAAAAAAATTCCTACGCACACGCAAGATCTATCATGGTGATGCATAGCAACAAGAGGGGAAGAGTGTTGTCCATGTACCCTCGTAGACCGTAAGCGGAAGCGTTATGACAACGCGGTTGATGTAGTCGTACGTCTTGACAATCCGACCGATCTTATTACCGAAAGTACGGCACCTCCGCGATCTGCACACGTTCGGCTCGGTGACGTCTCACGACCTCTCGATCTAGCTGAGTGTCGAGGGAGAGCTTCGTTAGCACGACGGCGTGATGACAGTGATAACGAAGTTACTAATAACCCATAAGTATAGGGGATCAATTGTAGCCTCTTTCGATAAGTAAGAGTGTCGAACCCAACGAGGAGCTAAAGGTAGAACAAATATTCCCTCAAATTCTATCGACCACCGATACAACTCTACGCACGCTTAACGTTTGCTTTACCTAGAACAAGTATGAAACTAAAAGTACTTTGTAGGTGTAACGGGTTAGGTTTGCAAAAAATAAAGAGCACGTAAATAAAAAGTAGGGGTTGTTTAGGTAAAGAAGCAATAAAGTTAGTATAGCGAGTGTGGAAAAGTGGTGGTAGGAGTTGCGAAATTGTCCCTAAGCAATTGACTACTTTACTAGACCGATAGCAAGTTTTATGTGGGAGAGACCACTGCTAGCATGTCATCCCTGACTTGGAATTCTATGCACTTATGATTGAAACTATTAGCAAGCATCCGTAACTACTAATGTTCATTAAGGTAAAACCCAACCATAGCATTAAGATATATTGGTCCCCCTTCAATCCCGTATGCATCAATTTCTATACTAGGTTGAAGCTTTTGTCACTTTTGCCCTCCAATACATAGTCCTATCAACATACGACTAACCCTATGGTGTGATCCACACGCGCGTTCATCAACCACCGATAGGACAACGAAAATCTACTCAGACATCATAGGATGGCAACACATCATTGGATAATAATATGAAGCATAAAGCACCATGTTCAAGTAGAGGGTACAACGGGTTGCGGGAGAGTGGACCACTGTAGATAGAGGGGGGGTGATGGAGATGTTGGTGAAGATGGCGAAGGTGTTGGTGTAGATTGCGGTGATGATGATGGCCCCCGGTGGCGTTCCGGCACCACCGGAAGCGAGGGGGAAGAGCCCCCCTCCTTCTTCTTCTTCCTTGACCTTCTCCCTAGATCGGAGAAGAGTTTCCCCTCTGGTCCATGGCCTCCATGGCATGGGAGGGGCGAGAGCCCCTTCGAGATTGGATTTGTCTCTCTGTCTCTCTCTGTTTCTGCGTTCTGGGATTCTGCCCTTTCACCATTTCTTATATATCCGGATATCCGTAACTCTGATTGGATTGAAACCTTCGCCCCTGCCTTGTGGCCTCCTCGGGAACCTTCTCGCGTTGATTCTTTTCCCATATTTCACAAATATTCCAAAAATATTCTCCGTCCGGTTTTATTCCGTTTGGACTCCGTTTGATATGGATATTCTGCGAAACAAAAACATGCAACAAACAGGAACTGGCACTGGGCACTGGATCAATATGTTAGTCCCCAAAAATAGTATAAAAAGTTGCCAAAAGTAAATAAAAGTTTTAGAATATTGGCATGGAACAATAAAAAATTATAGATACGATGGAGACGTATCAGCATCCCCAAGCTTAATTCCTTCTCGTCCTCGAGTAGGTAAATGATAAAAAAGATAATTTTTGATGTGGAATGCTACCTAGCATAATCTTGATCATGCATCTAATCATGGCATAATATTAATACATGAGTGATTCAAAGCAATAGTCTATCATTTGACATCAAGACAATAATACTTCAAGCATACTAACCAAGCAATTATGTCTTATCAAAATAACATAGTCAAAGAAAGCTCATCCCTACAAAATCATATAGTCTGGCTATGCTCCATCTTCACCACACAAAGCATTCAAATCATGCACAACCCCGATGACAAGCCGAGCAATTGGTTCATACTTTTAACGTGCTTCAGCTTTTTCAACCCTCACACAATACATGAGCGCAAGCCATGGACATAGCACTATAGGTGAAATAGAATATGATGATGGAGGTTGTGTGGAGAAGACAAAAAGGAAGAAAGTCTCACATCAACGCAGCTAATCAACGGGCTATGGAGATGCCCATCAATTGATGTCAATGTGAGGAGTAGGGATTGCCATGCAATGGATGCACTAAGAGCTATAAGTGTATGAAAGCTCAAACTGAAAACTAAGTGGGTGTGCATCCAACTTGCTTGCTCATGAAGACCTTGAGTGTTTGAGGAAGCCCATCATCGAAATATACAAGCCAAGTTCTATAATGAAAATTCCTACTAGTATATAAAAGTGATAACTCAAGAGACTCTCTATATGAAGAACATGGTGCTACTTTGAAGCACAAGTGTGGTAAAGGATAGTAACATTGCTCCCTCTTTTTTTCTTTTTTTTGCGGGCTTCTTTGGCCCCCTTTTTTTATTTAGGCTTCATTGACCTCTCTTTTTTTCATGAGGCAATGCTCTAATAATGATGATCATCATACTTTTATTTACTTACAACTCAATATTAGAACTCGATACTAGAACAGAGATATGACTCTATATGAAT